AAGATGTTTATAATAGTATTTCCTAAGCACATTTGCTTTCATATTTCTGTGTAATGACACTATCAAAATGTTTCTCCTCTTTGAAGTATTGTCTTCAATTCTTTTCCTGAACATTTTACATATAGTTTTGTCTACTGTAAGGAAAAAAATATTCTGACTTTATGGGTCCTTTATATCTCTCTTTTGTTTTATCTTAATCCTTGCAAAATTCTGTTCCTTTTCCAGAGATGCAATAATGGCTACAGCCAATCAGTCAGACTAGCAGAGAAAACAAGACAGTAGGAATGAAGACAAAGTAAAAATTCTGAATAAATTCTAAAGAATATATTCCTATGGAATAATTCGGTTCTTTTTGTACTCATGCACACCTATCACCTGTGACTTCAAACAACTTTGGCACTGGCTATCCCTGAGCACACTTTCCTGGGGAGGAGGACATCCTCCCAGCCTCCAACACACACACACACACACACACACACACACATCCTCCTCTCTCCTGGTCCTGCCAGGTGCCAATTCTCTGATGGTCTCTGGATAACCAATGAGGTGTTGCAGAACACATGAAGATGTTGCCAATGATATTATCTACTATTTTTTTGATATTAAAAATTTCTTGATACAGAAAAATCATTCAAGGCAAAGTAATTCATTCTAAATGGATAGGGAAGAAAAATACTAAGAAATCTAATCTGCAGTTAAGCAACAGTGGTGTTGGCGTTGTTGTGACATAGTGGGTAAAGCTGCTGCCTGCAATGCTGGCCATGGTGACCAGCTGCGGAATGAACTGGCAGATAGAAGATCTCTCTGTCTCTCCTTCTCTCTGTGTGACTCTGACTTTCAAATAAACAAATAAATCTTTAAGAAAAAAATAAGTATTGGGCCCAGCGCTGTGGCCAGCATACAATATGGGTCTGGTTCAAGTCCTGACTGCTCCACTTAATCAGCTGTCCGCTATGGACTGGGAAAGCAGCAGCAGATGGTCCAAGTCCATGGGCCGTTGAGTCTGTGTGGGAGACCCAGAAGAAGCTCCTGGCTCCTGGCTTCAGATTGGCACAGTTCTGGCCATAGGGGCCATTTGGGGAGTGAAAAAGTAGTATAAATCTTTATAAAGAAAGTATCAGAAAAATGCTTAAGTTGACATTAAAAAATGGCTCTCCTATTTATTTGAATCTGAACACTCTTAGCATTTACATAATCTTCAGTTTTTTTGCTCTACAACAGTTTGAGTCTCCTAAATAATCTGGTGCTTTAAGATAGCAACCTACAAGATTTTTTGTTTTAAACCTGGGGCAGCAATTACTTTAATAAACTCCAGAATAACTATACAAAAATGAAACATTGTTAAAGAAAAGGAAAAGAATAAACTTAATTGGATACAGCACAGAACCAAATGTACTTTTTTCATTAAAAATACCTTAATTTTAAAAAGTCAATAAATTGTTAGTAAAAAGTAGCCAACAGAAATGAAGGAAAATGGAATGTCTTTAAAGTAAATCTAGTCTGACCACTGTTTTCCATTTAACTAGATGAAGAGTAAAGGGCACACCTGATAGGCCAAGCAAGAAGTACATAAATTCCAGGATTCCACATTCTAGAAAGACTAATAGGGGCTGGTGCTGTGGTACCACAGGTTCAAGCCCTAGCCTGCAGTGCTGGCATCCCATATGGGTGCCAGTTTAAATCCTGACTGCTCCACTTACAATCCAGCTCCCTGTTAATGCGCCTGGGAAAACAGCAGAGGATGGCCCAAGTCCTTGGGCCCTTGAACCCATGTGGGAGACCTAGAAGCATCTGTCTCCTGGCTTCAGACTGGCTCAGCTCCAGCTGTTGCAGCCATTTGGGAGTGAACCAGTAGATGGAAGACCTCTCTTTCTCTTACTACCTCTCTCTGTAACACTGTCTCTCAAATAAATAAAATAAATATTTTAAAAAACCCAAAGACTAATAATGACCATCTTTTTTTAAGATGGAAGATATTCTTTTTTTTTTTTTTTTTTTTTTTTTTGACAGGCAGAGTGGACAGTGAGAGAGAGAGACAGAGAGAAACGTTTTCCTTTGCCGTTGGTTCACCCTCCAATGGCCGCCGCGGCCGGTGCGCTGCGGCTGGCGCACCGCACTGATCCGATGGCAGGAGCCAGGAGCCAGGTGCTTTTCCTGGTCTCCCATGGGGTGCAGGGCCCAAGCACCTGGGCCATCCTCCACTGCACTCCCTGGCCACAGCAGAGAGCTGGCCTGGAAGAGGGGCAACCGGGACAGAATCCGGCGCCCCGACCGGGACTAGAACCCGGTGTGCGGGCGCCGCTAGGCGGAGGATTAGCCTAGTGAGCCGCGGCGCCGGCCGGAAGATATTCTTTATACTTCTTGCACTTACCAGCTGTTACTACTGTTCTTGTTAATTGTAAAGAAAAATATGAACTTGCCCAAATGGAAAGGAACTCTCTTTATATGGCTAAATGAAAATACAAACTAAAAACATTGCCCTTTAGAAATTAGTATTTACGATGCCCTGCTGCCATCTCTTGGGCTATAGTGTCAGATAGACGCATATACACACACAGACACTCTCTCTCAAAATGTCTCCATCTCTCTCTCTCTCTCTCTCTCCACACACACACACACCCACACACACACACACACACACACGGTGTTGGCGTGGCTCTACGCATGAGAGAAGGGAGCAGGCAGTTTAAGAGCAAGTTACTGGGCCGGCGCCACGGCTCAATAGGCTAATCCTCCACCTAGCAGTGCCGGCACAATGGGTTCTAGTCCCGGTCGGGGCGCCGGATTCTTTCCCTGTTGCCCCTCTTCCAGGACAGCTCTCTGCTGTGGCCAGGGGGTGCAGTGGAGGATGGCCCAAGTGCTTGGGCCCTGCACCCCATGGGAGACCAGGAAAAAAGCACCTGGCTCCTGGCTCCTGCCATCGGATCAGCGCGGTGCGCCGGCTGCAGTGGCGGCCATTGGAGGGTGAACCAACGGCAAAAGGAAGATCTTTCTCTCTGTCTCTCGCTCACTACCCACTCTGCCTGTCAAAAAAAAAAAAAAAAAAAAAAAAAAAAAAAAGAAGCAGCAAGTTCCTGAGAAAGTGGTACACGAGCACCACCTAGTGGGCTCTGGAGAAAGATTCGGCCTCATTCTACTACTGGCCTCATCCTACTACTTCAGAGAGAAGTCAGTTTTCATTCCCCAACTGACCACATGTTCCAAGAGAAAAACAATCAGCCAATAGGACAAGTATTGTATGGATGTTTCATGACTCTCCAAAGCAGCAGTCAACTATGACTCTAATCGCACACTTCCTGTGATGCACGTAGGTAATGCCTTGCATTACAGCAGCATCCGAAGATGTATGTGAATTCACTGCCATTACATTTAAAGGCACAAGTCAATTTGTCAGTGTCACCAAACCCCAGACACAATCAATTTAAGCTAGAAGAACAAATAATAAACAATGATATGTTGCTTTGTATTCGTTTCATTAATACTAATTCTGTGTCTACTATGTGCACAGATATACATATTTCAGAACTTTAATCTTTGTAAAATGATTAGTATTCAACTTGGTTCGAATTATATAATTAACAATTATAAGATAGCTAATATGTATATATTGTCAAACTTTTTATTAACATGCAAGATACTCAAAGCTGAAAGAATTATCTAGAATTACTTTTAAAAACATTTAAGAATTTTTTCTGTCTCCAACTCTTTCAACCAAGATATTCTCTAGCTAAAGGACAAAAATGAAAATTTTCTCTTCATACGTGGTTCTTCCCTATAAACTACTGGATTCTCAAATGAGGTTGAATTGCATCCCAGTCGATATTTGGCAACATTTATTTGAACAGAGATCCAGGAATTCTACAAGATACATGTCAGTATCTCAAAACAAGGAATTACCTACTTTACAAATCCAGCAGTGCCAAGGTTGAGAAATACTGATCTAGAGTATAAGATTGCCAGAGGACAGGAAGCATGTCTTATTAAAGATGATACTGTTTGGCAAGACAGGTCATGATTAGTGAAACATCCAATTCTAATTCCCAATACACGTGACTGGGAAAGTAGGGCGACGATCTTAGATCCCACTGTTCCAGAAAAAGATGAAACTGACACGTGGAGACACCCAGCATATACAGTAAAATAACTTGTCTGGACAGCAGTAACAAAACAAGCAACAGGAAGAGAATGAGGCTAGAAATGGATCTCCAGAGGGAAAAAACTTAGGTTAAAGATAACAAGAAGTAAAGAAATTCTAGAATATTAAGTCCACCTGTAAGACATGCTCCAGTATGTTAAGGTCATGCAGTGTAACCTCAGGGAACATTCTCACTACATTACATTACTTAATGTAAAGGCCAAAACTAATGACCTGTTGGCTAACAATTGAAGAGAACTATAAAGTTACTTCAGTGCTAAGGACATCAAAAGTCTATTTTTCAACAAAAAATACTCTTAACAAGGGAAATCAGTAGGAAGAATGTGATGAAAGTTTCTGAATGGGTCAGAAGATAATGCAACTCTGGCATATTAAGTGACTTGTATCTATTCTTGAGTGAGATACTCTCTTTGCAATCATAAAAACTTTATTACTCTATGAGACTCACTTTGGTGAAAAAATGACGAAATCAAGTTAGAGGCATTTTGCTGGATCAAGATCAACCAAAGAAAGGTAAAACTGAGTAAAATCACACAATTTTAAATAGAATTGGACAGCTCAAATCTCAACAGATGTTCTATAGTTTGAAAGTTCATATTCATCCTGGAAATGCAATAATATTTTCCCTCATTTCAAACAGAATTTGAGGAAGTTTTTATGTGGAATTACAATATAATAAGAACAGAATTTTAAGGATAAATAAGGGTAGTCTAAAAGAAGATAAGGGAATAATAATAAAATGAGGATAGGATAGAAATTCTTAGGAATGTGTGCATTAATAGAAAAATTCAGAACTTGAAATTAACACTAGTTTATGAGGTAAAAAATAAGCTTTGCCACTCACCAATTTTAACCTCTGTAATGGTATTCTGCCTACATCTATTTGTGTCCTTTCTGGGACATTAGTGAACCGAACTTCTGGGACTGCAACAGCACACATGACATGGGCCCACCTACAGGAAAGGAGACATTAAACATAAACAAGTGTTCCCTAAACTTACATACCTCCGAACTTCATCCTGGTGATGGCAGTTCTCACAGGTAGAAACTACACAGATGAGATAGAAAGCAAAAGCCTGCATCCATCATGAACAGATTCTGAATTTTAAACCTCCAGAACGACACCTGCATAGATTCGGCACCACATCTGCCCAACACTGTGACACAAAGAACTAGATGAAGACCAAAAACCCAATCCTACTATTGTACATATTTCTCTAAACTTGAAAGGTACTGAAGTATGAGTTTCCTATTTGTTGCAAAAATGTGATTTATATATTTCAGCTAATAAATAGCTAGCAAAATACTAGTATAATCAAAGGTATAAACCATGTATGGTGTACAATCTTTTTACATAACAAAAAATGTCACAAAGCAAGCTAGATTAAGCACTAGAAGTTTCCAAAAACAATTGGTTCTAATTAAATATTAAATCAAACTATTTCTGAAATTCTACTCTAATGAATGGAACCTCAGACAGGAGAAATGAATCTTGAGTTTGTTCCCCGGCTTCCTACTTAACATCTACTATCTCCTTCATATTCTGAATTACTTCAGAAAAATGGCAAAATCTCTATGAACACAATTAAATTGCCTGATAGATGCTATTCCCTCAAATAAATATAAAGACTCATAAGATTTGAAAAGATCGTGAAAGAAATATTATCAAATCCATCAGCCATTTTTAACCTAAAGACCCACACACCACCAGGTTCCATCTAGTCATTCAAGATCACAGGAAGAACAAGGATAAAATTAAACACTACTAGTGGGTTACCCTATAAACAAATACTGCTACTATAGGAAATACTTTTTGTTGTTGCTGTTCGAGCCCAAGGGTAGGAAGAAAACTTCCCATCTTCCGTCTTCCTAGGGACCATCTAAACCCGCTCATCGGCTGTACAGCTTGTACAACATCCAACTACTAGGGAAGAAGTTTTAGTACCGTGCCAATCATATCAACTTGGACTGAGAAAGATGATGACACAGTTTCTGAGACTAAGCTTTATCAATGTAGAAATGATAAAGGCCTTCACTCTTCCTTCTAAGCAACCAGACATATGTGCACATACACATAATTATGCTAACTCCAACAATACATTATATCAGGATTCCTAACTTGAATGCCCATGAGGCCAGACAGATATAAGCAAATACTGGTGTACTGGGAAATCATGGTTACCAAGGGACCGTTAGCCCCATGGAGTCTGGTCCTCATCTCAACTTGTTATCATTGCCTTAGAGAGCTATACATCCTTTTTTAAGGAAAGATAAAATACTAGATTTTTATGTCAAAATCTCTGGTTTTGGACTATAATTGAAATTTATAAGATGGTGTATATATCAAACATATCTTGGGGGATACATGTCCCTCTCAAGTGCCAGCTGGCAAACTGTGCCAGAACCATTTTCACATGTCTCTGAGATATTAAAGGACCCTTGAAATATGCTTTGGAATCATTTTTAGTATTAAAAACTTCTCTTGAAAATAAAATTCATGCAAAAATAGTCATAAAAACAAAATGCTTTCCTTTTTGGTCACTCTCTTTCAAGATTCTCTTCCTATTCCCAATCCGCCACTTGAAGTGTTAACGTAAGGGTGTTCTCCCTGTATTTTATGATTTAGTCCATAGGCATGCTCTCCTGTATTTGCTGGCATTAAATGTAAATGGTCTGGCTTTAATGTCATGATTTAATTTACTTGAAAATAACAATTTCACTGTTTTGAGAAATTTATTTTTAGTTTAATTGGATTCATCATATTAAACATGGGGATTCTAAGAGCACCTGGATGATATGAGCCATCTTCAATTTAAAAATTAAGATAGAGAGCCAGTGCTGTGGCATAGTAGGCTAAGCCTACGGACCTGAGGTGCCGGCATTCCATATGGGTGCCGGTTCGAGTCCCATCTGCTCCTTTTCTGATCCAGCTCTCTGCTATGACCTGGGGAAAAGAGTAGAAGATGGCACAAGAACTTGGGCCCCTGTTCCAGCATGGGAAACAGGGAAGAAGCTCCAAGCTTCAGATCAGCCAAGCTCCAGCTGTTGCGGCCACAGAGGGAGTGAACCAGTGGATGGAAGATCTTTCTCTGTCTCTCTCTCTAACTCTACCTCTCAAATAAATAAATAAAATTTTTAAAAAAATTAAGATAACCTATTCTTCAAGTTGTTAAACACATAGAGAAGAAACAAAGCATGGACACCCGCAACCAGCAAAAGTGAGACTATTATCAAAGGTGGTCTCTGACACACAGAATCCCAACACACAGAATCTCAACACCAAAAGTCTGGTACAATCCATACACTGAGAGGTAAATCAAACTGTCATCCAGAGGTTTTAGAAAGGAGAAAGCTTATAACAAAATTCAACACAATCAATGCATTACTTACTTATTGTTCATAGTCTGCTTAAGAGCACCCCCTCGCAAATTGCAAAGGCAGCATTCCTAGGAGAAAAGAAAATGCCACGGATTACCAGACCCACATAACAAAAGACATTAACATTCATCTAAGTATCTCAAAATATGCTGTTTTTATTTTAAAGTTATAACAATCAGGAATGACATGAAGGTAATTCAAGAATGGAAAGGAAGAGGATGGTGCTGTGGCATAGCAGGTAAAGCCTCCATCTGCTGCACCGGCACCACAGATAAGTGTTGGTTCGAGATTCACCTGATCCACTTCTAATCCAACTCCCTGCTAACGTGCCTGGGAAAGCAGTAGAAGATGACCTAAGTCCTGGGGCCCCTGTCCCACATGGGAGACCTGGAAGAAGCTCCAGATTCCTGGCTGTGGTCAGGACCAGCTTCAACTGTTGCAGCCATCTGGGCAGAGAACCAGCAGATGGACGATCTCTCTCTCTCTCTCTCTCTCTCTCTCTCTCTCTGTAAAGCAGCCTTTTAAATAAAAAGGAAGGAAGGGGGAAGGGAGGATGAAAAGGAAAATAAAAAGAAAGAATGGAAAGGAAAAAAGACACACAGAGAGGTAAGGGTATAGTCCTAAATGTTTTGGATTTATTTAGTTCCCAGAATGAAACTTCATAATCCTGAGATTTTCAATTGCTTTCATTGAAGGAAAGCTGGCTACACAGGAACCTTGGCAGCCTAGAGAGGTAGGTGCTAGAATTCTAGAGCAGAGACTATATATACCAATGGTTTCCATGTACTGTGGTAACTCATGCTTGGGTATAGAATTGCTATAGAATAGAGTTTGAGAGGCTTTGCTCAAACACACAAACATAAAGGACATTCAGTGAAATTCGGGCTTCATTCTTTCTGTGGAATAATGTTGTTGCAAAAATTGTTTTGCCCACACCAGGATATCTAGGCTGACAAAACGCTGCACGGAGGGGCCAGTGCTGTGTCGTAGCAGGTAAGGACTCTCATCTCATATGGGCGCCGGTTCAAGACCCAGCTGCTCCACTTCCAATCCAGCTCTCTGCTATGGCCTGGGAAAGCAGTAGAAGATGGCCCAAGTCCTTGGGACCTTGCACCCACATGGGAGACCCAGAAGAAGCTCCTGGTTCCTGACTTCGGATCAGCTCAACTCTGGCCGTTGCAGCCAATTGGGGAATGAACCAGCAGATGAAAGACCTTTCTCACTCACTCACTCACTCACTCTCTCTCTCTCTCTCTCTCTGCCTCTCCTTCTCTCATTATGTAACTTTCAAGTAAAAAAATAAATATTAAAAAAAAATACTACATGGAAGGGGCTAGCATTGTGGCGCAGTACATTAATCCATCTCTTGGGTCGCCCACATTCTGTATCAGAGTACTGGTTCAAATCCCACTGCTCTCCTTTCCAATACAATCATAGCTAATCCTGGGAAGGAATGGATAATGGCTCAAGTACTTAGGCCACTGCCACCAATGTGGGAGACCCAGATAGAGAGCCTCCTCCTAGCTTTGGGCTGATCCAGTTCTAGCCTGTGTTAAGGCATTTGGGGAGTGTACTAGCAGACATATCTGTCTCTCCCTTTCTCTCTGTAACTCTGTAAAAACATAAATCTTCTACAAAAACAAAAAAGAGCCATGTCTTCCACCACATAAGTTTATGTTTTTAGCAGCTTTTTTTCAATCTATGCTTTTTTAAAAAAAAATTTATTTATTTCTTTGAGAGGTAGAGTTACAGAAACAGAGAAGCTAACATGGAGAGAAAGGTCTTCCTCCGCTGGTTCACTCCCCAAATGTCAACAATATCCGGAGCTGGGTTGATCCAAAGCCAGGAGCCAGGAGCTTCTTCCAGGTCTCCTATACGGGTGCAGGGGGCCAAGGACTTAGGCAAACTTCTACAGGTTTCCCAGCCATAGCAAAGAGCCAGATCAGAAGAAGAGCAGCTGGGACACAAACTGGTTCCCATATGGGATACCAGCACTGCAGGTGGAGGGTTAGCCCACAACACCAGCCCCATTTTTACCTGTTTTATGGGTTGTAACTTGCAATACACTTCCTCACACCAAGGTCGCTGCTACAAATATAGACTTTCTTGGTTATTTCTCATTATGCTCTCATGAAAAAGTCCAGGAAAAGCAGACCCAGATAGCAGTGCTTTGCCTTCTGTTGACCTCGAATTTTTTTTATTAAATATTTATTAACTGCAAGCTTGTTCTCCCAAATTTCTGCATTAATATATTACTTAAAAAGGTATAGGTTATCTGTGGGTTTTTTTCCCCTCCTAACTGAATACATAAAATGGTCAGTATGCTGTGATCCAAGGTGATGTCTCTAATTTAATTTTTCACAGTCATGCCTCATATTACAAGGAATTAATCAAATTGACTTACTATTAATAATGAGGAGTTGAACTTCAGAGCTTTTCTGAGAACAACAAAAACAAATAGCAACAATCCCTCTATCTTTGTACCATTATTAAGTAATTAAAAAAAAAAAAAAAAAAGATAATGCGGCCCAGTGCTGTGGCACAGCGTGTTAATGCCCTGGCCGGAAGCACCGGCATCCTATATGGTTGCCGGTTTGAAACCTGGCTGCTCTACTTTCAATTCAGCTCTCTGTTCTGGACAGGGAAAGCAGTACAGGATGGCCCAGGTCCTTGGGCCCCTGCACATGTGTGGGAGACTCAGAAGAAGCTCCTGGCTCCGGGCTTTAGATCGGCGCAGCTCCGGCCGTTGCAGCCAACTGGGGAGTGAAGCATTGGATGGAAGACCTCTCTCTCTCTCTCTTGCTGCCTTTCCTCTCTGTGTAACTCTGACTTTCAAAGAAATAAATAATTAAATATTGAAAAAAAAAGCAATGCATGGAAATATTCAAATTTTCTATATCTAGAAAGTCTCTGAATGTCTGAAACATATTGGGGGAACTACTAAAAGCTCAGAGGAGCAAAAGGTGCCCACTGTATAGCCACTTGAATCCATTATAAACCCAGCTCAAGGAGCTAACAAATCAACACAAACTATTCTCTCTCCATACCATGAAACCATATTCTAGAAGGCTCCAGAACAATTGATTTTGATGAAGCAAATCAAGAAAGCAAAATTTCATGATCCAATTATTGTAAAGCAAAATTTTAGTAACTCATTTTATAAAAAGTTCTCAAAAGTATTTTTGTAGTAATTCCGTACATAGATGGGTGCAGTGGAAGATGGAGTGAGAGAGGGAGGGGGAACAAAAATGGAAACAAAACTCAAGGTCAAATTCCTTCACTCGATATATGATGTTAGTGTCAACACGGGAATGAAGCAGAGCACTATGGATTGTGCCAAGCTCAAACACTATTAGAAATAAATGCCTGCTTACTGAAGCTAGTATTAAGAAGGGGACAGTTTAAGAGAGTTAAACAGAATAAAGCAGCAGGGAGGCAGCTATAAAGAACCTGATTAGGATCATTAGTATAAACACATGTTCCAGAACACAATATGATGGGAAGAAAAATCTTTCTAAAATAGAATATGTAGACTGAAGATTTTAACAGAATTAAGAAGACCCCTCTCCCTGTGCAATTACATAATAAGTTATGCTAGGATAACCAGAGACCTCCACATCACAAAATTCGACAACTCCAAATCCTCTGTTCACCTGACCCCTTTGCAAGATTCAATACTGTTGATCCTTCCTGCAAAAATTTCTCCTTGTGATTTCCAATGCTCTTTTTCTCCTTAATGTCCTCCTCCGTGTCCAGTTAACTCTGAGCATCCTACGTAATGCTTCTCTCCACAAATGTTAGGATTTGTGCAATAGATACTATGACTTATCTCTCCACACATGCAAGCTGGACATCTGATCCAGCACCCAGACTCCAAGTACACTCCAAAGTCCAATTGCTCAAACATTTACTGAAAAGTCCAGCCAGGTCAACAGGCATCTAAAACACATATGCAATACTTAACTCACAGGCTGGTACTCTGCCATTGTTTCCTTATCAGTGACACCATCCATGGTATCTCTACTGAATATTTCTCTTCTCACCATAGATCCAATCAATTCTACTGACTCCACCTCGATCTATCCTGTTACACTCATCATCACTGCCATCATCTTGACTGACACCCCACACATCCTTAAAGAGACCCAACCAACTGTAATAGTCACCTTCAGCCACTCTGAGAAGCCTCACAAGGTCAAATTATTAAGGGCTTTGCCTTGGCCAACCACACTTTGTACTATTTTACATGCTTGACACCCCAGGGACTTCCAGTAAGGTTCCTTCTGCCCTAAAGACTTTAGAACCAGCCTTCTTCCATTCTTCATTCATTAACCTGAATACATTCTTGACATCTTAACCCAAATAGTACATCTACATACAAGGCTCCTCTGATAGCCAGATTCAGTTACTTCTTTCTGATAGAATCCCACTGGTACCTTATGCTAACACTAACCGTTTATTTAAAGCAACTTATTTTTACAAAAATCTATTGAATTCTATCAGCCGTCTTCATTAAACTGTGATCTCAATAAGTGCTACGACAACATGTGCCAAGTTAATCACACTTGCGCTATTATTCTATCTAATATATAGTAATCTTCAACATAATTTTGTTAAGTAATTAAGAAAATCTGGTAAACAGGGAAGAGTAAAAATCATGAAAATTACTAAATGATTCAAATATTACAAAGACTATATTCACACTATGCAGTTCTCTTAAGAAAGGATGGAATAAGCATTGGTGACTTGATATGATGTCATGAAACTATGAGTTGATGTGGAGTTATCTGTGACATGAAATCTTATTTCTCAGTAAAGAAGAAAAATACTTATACTCAGGTACATTCATAAATTATTTACATGAAATCATGGTTTCTGATTCTCTCAAGCTTGGAAAAGTGAGTAGAAAAGAATAATGCCATGTCAAGTCACATCATTTGTTAGATTCACTGTACTCACAGGGTCAAAACTACTTACTCTCGTAAAAACAACAAGATGCCAACTTGTCAAGTCATGCATTACTAAATGCCCATGTTCAAGGTTTAGAAGCAGGCAATGTTAAATACGA